AAGCAATCAGATATATGTTAATGCATGCATCTATGATCTTTTCTAAATGAACATACTCAATCATCTATAATCATTTACTTTAACTTTACTTTTATTTTATACTTTACATACACATCTGTCTTTGTTAGGACTACCGTTAGCAAACCTAATAGACTCTTGGTCGATATTGCCCTGTCAGTACAACGGTTAGCAATCTACACATCGCAATTGCCTAGAGTGGAAATGCCCTTATCTGCCCCTGTGTTGGGTCTCCCGTGCATGATATTGACAGTTATCTATGGATGTCCCTCGAAAATTGTCAAGGCTCCGGCCCTAATTCTACCTTTACCAAAATCCTTATACATATGTATGATTTTCCATATATGTGCCACCTGACTTTCTAATATACACGTCTTTTGTTCTTGTTTAATCTTTCGTAATATTTGCATGCTCTACTTGTAATTCCAACCTCTTTCAGCAGCGGCATCGCAGGCAACAGGTATGTACTACCACTTTCCTTTTTACTGCATTTGCTTTCTTATTGTGCCTTACTGTGCATATTTTTTTCATACAAGCAATAATATTATTCTGTTATTTACAATACATGTAAAAGAACTATAGTAGATGACAGTAGGCTGCCTGTTTAGGTGGAACACTACAACAAGGCTCTATGACTCAACAATAATAGCAAACATCAACTCAAATTCACATACCAAAATCACAACACTACAATAATAAGCTTGGGGCAAACTTCCTGAGAAGCAAAACGATGATGCAAGTGGAAGGACAACTTCAGACAACAATTGAGACCGCAACATAAACAAAAGAACGATCCTCAACCGAACTTTTCATAGTTTTAAATAACATAAACCTATAGGATTCTGAGATTGTTCGTCTAACACGACATAAATCCTCACGTTACTTTTTAGGCATTCGTACGATCGTATGTCGTACGATATAAGTCCTAAACTCTTTTTTGGATTCTGAGATTGTAGTTTGGTATAGTGTAAATCTTCCTATATTTTTGGGCAGTTTGCACGATCGTATGTCGTGCTGATATAACTCCTAAAATTCTAATAAATTGCAGGAGTAAACATCAAGTAACATAATTCCCAAAATGTAAGCCAAACAATAGGGCAGTCTAGGAAGTCAACAAGGTTTTCCTCAAGATCTGTGACGTCCCCCTATTTATCACTCCTTTGAATTTCCAAAATAATTGTTCCTACTTGTGCCCTTCCCACTTGAATTTCGTGTGTCGTGAAAACTCAACTTTGAATTCTTGAAGACGAATCCCCAGATTATTATTGAGAGTTTTTTAAGTGACTTTGGTTGGTTGAGATGTAATTAATCATAGAGGCTTGCCTCATAGAGAATTAGGAACTCAGTTAATATAACAACTATCTAATATTCGTATTATATAGGGAAATTGTCGGTCACAAAATTCACATACTTGACAACGAATGTAATGAATTTCTCAGTTTACATGGTTGAGCTAACAAACAAGTGGTACGCTTATCTTTCGAGATGATATATCACTTGTAGTATTATGTTCAACTATGCAAACTATTAGATATATGAGATATGTTCGGTCTCATATTTCAAAATTAAAATATTATTTTTCAAAATCAAAATTATATACAGATTAAATTAAAATTATTTTTAAAGCAACGAACAAATTTCAATTGGCGACTGAGAATTAACTCTTAAATGATTGGAGTATTAAGGAAATTTCCCATAAATAAATCCTTCCAAATGAGAGCATTGGGTCTGAAGCACTTGTTGTTCCTTCAAAGAATGCTAAGGGGAGATGAAATTGAGGTAGACATGGCCACCTTCTCTCAGACACATTAGGGGGAAATTTCATAAGAGTTATAAGTGCTTACATCTATAGTTTTACAATTAAATTTTAAAGCATATTCCCTCTATAGATGCAAAAAACTATTATGTTTTTCATGTACTTTTCCTCTAGTGTAGTGCATTCTACAAGACCCTAGAAAGTATAGTTTCCCACAACAAAATGAGATTTTCTTTTTAAAGCACCTTCCCTTTATACTTTTTAAAATGATAATCCATGATATTATGTTTCAATCCTTTGATATTCTCTATTAAAAAAGAAACTAAAGCAGCAAACACAACAAAGAAAAATTAAAAAAAAAAAAGCTAAGTCAACAAAAGGTGAGATCTCAATGATCAAAATTTAAAGCCACTTCTTTCAAAAAACATGAAGAGGATAAATTTCATGATTATAGTAGGCTAATAGCCCAAGATTTTGATCAATTTTTTATGCGGTGGGAATTTCAGAGTACCTAAGACAAATTGGATTTGTTAAAACTTTCATTCTTTTGTTCTTTGTAGCTTCTCAGAAGAGGAAATTAAACAACATATTCACCAATTCAAGTGCATCAACACAAAAAATAGACGTAAATTGAGTTTAATAAGCCAATGATGACTCAACCAACCTAAAACAAATTAAAGCGCAAGTAGTCCATCAAAAGTCAACCAGATTTAAAAAATGTTGCATAAAAAAGTCATGCTAACGATACTTAGTTCACAGTTTCAGATATAAAACTCAACTAATCAATACTCAAAAGCTATACCCAACTATAGATACTTGATAATCAGCCAAATGACACTATTAGCTCATATCACTCATTCATAGTACTTATCCTTAGTATTCTCTCATTGAACTCATCCAAAAAAGGTCTGCTTTAAAGCAGTCGCATGGTCGTAGAGCAAATGCCCAACTTCACATGTAGATGTTTGAATTCATTGTGACCTACCTTGTAGAACTAACCATGGTTCTTGCTTATTAAAAAGAGTTTAAGTGTTAGGCAAAGGGAACCAAATTCTTAATCACTAGAATGTCATCTTTTCTCTTTCCCACTAACTATGTGCACTTTCTCTTCATCCAACTCATCCTGCTCTTCAAGCCTAGTTGAGACCTTTGTAGCAATTTACTTGAGAAATCATTGAGATCATATCAAGTCATATTTTTCATCTCTCATATCTCATTGCATGGTCGACCAAGAAAGGTTTACTTTACTTTCTAATGATCAAGTTTGAATCCAACAATTAACTTGCTACAATCCCACTTCTGGGATTAAAATAAATGTCAATTCGAGAATATCAACTCCATAAATTGGGAAAAGGGAGAACTAAAGAAGAGAAACACAGAATTAAGGAGAAACTTACAAAATTCTTTTCAATCTCTTCAATGTCTCCAAAAAGAGACTACCTATATATGTAGAAAAACATTAATTCAATGTTAATAGATTATTTATTAACTAACTATATTTATTAGTCTAAGACAAATAACAAATCATTTCACAATATCCTATCATTACCTACCTGTCAAAGTGATCATTCCCTCAAGGTCGAGCATATCATAGAAATAATGGAAAGGTAGAATGGTGATGAAAGCAACAAAGAGTGAGCTAGGAAGGTCACCGACAACAGAAAAATGAAAATTGGAGTTAGACTTGATTTTAGGGCAGAGAATGGGCTTCTTCATTTGATTGCGTAGTTAAAGAAGACGATCATGAATCTATTTCTTTCCATGGTAAAAAGTTACTAGTAGTAACGAGGCCTCCCTTCTTGAAAACAAATAAATCTTTTAAAATTATCAAAATTTCAGACACCACTAGACGAACAAGTTCATCATGTGGCAGCTCTTTAGAGAGACAGAAGAGCACAGTCCAAGTTGAACCAGTATAAAGCTTGAAAGTAATTGGTAGACTCCTCTTTCTGAAGAATGTATAATCTCTATTTTGTTGAGGCTATAAAGTGCAGAATATGCTAAATGAAATTGTTTATTTTCTAGCCCAAGCAGTTGCTATGGTAAATGAAATTGGAATTTCATATTTGCCTATGAACCAATTACCATTCATAACTCTTTGTCAAATCGGTGAAGATTGGATTTTTAGAGATAGTTTGGAAATGTAAGAAGTTGTCTCCTTGCGATGCTTCGAGATCAAGATGGAGAAGATAATGATTGTGCTGAGTGGTAGAGGGTGACGAGGATGTGGTTGAGGCTAAGGGTTTGAATGGAGAGATCAAGATTGGGAGTTTAGATCAACAAGATGATGATTGATGAAATGACTAGTGTTGGATTGGGTGACCATAGTGTGGAGGCAAAACTCAAATCATTGTAAGGGGCGGCGGCACCAAATTTGACAAAAATCTTTCTTGTTCTTGAAATTGGTTTGGTGATCTCTTGAACTGTGAATGGCCTGTGGACGAAGTAGCGTGGGAATAATCTTGGACGAATTGGCACAAAAAAAAAAATTTTAAGTTCGGAGATGATAATTGCGGTGCATGTTTAGCAATGGGGATGTGGGATAAGGACAAATAAGAGGACAACGAGAGCTAGCAAGTAACTTGGGTGAGATCATAAGATGGCAGATGTTAGCGAATCTGGCCTTTGCAATGGAAGATACGGCGGTAGTATGGAGAGGGTTTTTTTTCAGTGATCTCACCATTGATACAACCCCATTTATAGGATTAAGATAAATGGCAACTCTAGAAATTGAGTGGGGGAGAATTAGGAAAGAGAAACATAGAGATAAGGTAAAACTTACTGGATTCTTTTCATTCGCCTCAATGTCTCCAAAAGGAGGCTATCTATTGCTAACAGCCCACTTACTAATTAACTATAATTATTAGTCTAATACAATAAAGAATCTTCTCACAATATCCTGTCATCAGTTAAAGAAATCAGATAGATTTTTCTTTTCAAGTTCACAAATTCATTTCCCATATAATATCATCTGAAATAGGAGCATTCAACACTGCTGGATCTTAACATCATTCAAAATGCTTAAGATGGTAGAAAACCATTTCTCTCTAGAAATATGGTAAGAATTAGACTTGGCACGGCGAGTGAAAGAATTTGTGGCCCGTCGGTTAAGAAGAACTTTATTTTTCCAATATTGCAGGCTATTCACCATTCCAAAACAAAAAAATGCTCCAGAAAAAACAAAGGAAACCTAAACACGCAGAGTCAAGGTTTCTGAGACTCGTACCGGAGGCAGAGTCGACATTGAAGGCAGCAAGCACATCGGCAGCCTCGTCAATTGGAGATCGGAACGGCCTGAGGACCTTCTTCCGGTAACGGGAGAAGGAGAACACATTCGCCGCCACGGAGAGCGTCAGGACGATTCCAGCGAGCTTCGTCGCTGCCATCATGAGCGCCATCATCCCCATTTTAACACTCCGGTAATGTATGGCGGGAAAGACGATATCCAGAAACCTGTATCAACTTGCGAGTGGCGATAAATCGCCATGAAAGCCGCGTGATCTTCTGAGGATTATAAAGGATTAAAATGCTCGCTGCAAGCAGGGCTCCTTCAATAGAATACTCAAAATTTTAAATTCGTTAGAATTTTGAGTAGGATAAGACTCGACGCCTTTTTTTTTTTTTTCAGTGGATATCTCACTTGAGAAAGAGACAAATTCGCTCTTTTGTTTGCCGGTGTGAGTATTCGATGCTTTCGGATGGGCAGTTTGAAAATGGACAAATTTTCTTAATAGATTAGTATTAAGGTTCATGTAGACGAAAAATTATTACATCTAAGTCCGGAAATAACTAGAAATATGTTCGGAGTCTAATGAATAACTCCACGTGGAGTTGATAGAAAAAAAAAAAACTCGGTTTCTTGTGATTCGGCCAGTAAAACGGGAATATTACTCTGGTGTTTCTCCGCATTATTTAGGTGTATTGTGATGGTATTGATGTGTTATTATGTTATTGCAAAATCGGGAATATTCTCATAACACAATAATACATGAATATCATCACAATAACACATGAATAATACAAAATAACACGGGAGGAATATTTCTCTGTGCTAAAACAATTTTTTTTTTATTTTTCTGTCACCTCTATGTGGCGTGATTTCATTACACTCCTGACGTAATATTTGTTCTATTTAGTCAAGACAACTGAATGTCTTTTTTCTTTTGTAAAATAAGATCAAAATTGTACCAACACAGAAGAACAACCTACTTAAAATAATCTTAAAATACCAAACTATTCATTGAAGAGCTTTGTTAGTCTTGAGAACATCAGATTTTTTTTTAAAAGATAACTAGCTATTTGTAGTTGTTGCATCTTTTTGATGGTTAATCAAAGCTTACATAGTGAGCTGACATCGATTTTTTGGATGGGAGAAGGATGTACTTAAACGTGTTTACCATTTTGTTGGTTTGGGTGGACATTTTATTATGTGTCGTACATCGATCTAGCTGATATTGAATTTAATCGACATCTTTGCTCTTACCAGACACTTACAGGGGATGAGATTCATCTACAATATTTATTGGTTATGGATGACTTAGTTCAGTTTTCAAAGTAGTCACTCGTTGGGGTAGTTTTAGCACATGTATAGAGAGTTACGAGCAAGCTTAGTTGCATGCATATGGAGAGTTGTTCACATCTTTTGCAGGTTTGGATATGGGAGCATTTATGAATTGGGAGGCCAACGCTACAAGTATAGTACCCGAAGGAGCTTCAGAGGAAGAGTTTGGGCTTAATATTTATTGATTTTTAGTTCTAATTATTGTAATTTATTATTTTTATTAACCAATATTTTTATAGATGGATTGAGAATCAACTAAGAGAAATGCGACCAAGTGTTGTTAATATCTATGGAGAATATATTGAATGCTCACTAAAAAGCCATGTTAGTATAATTTTCATTGTTGAATATTCTCACAATTAATTTAATTTATAACACTCCTAAAATTTAACCCAAATGAAAAATACACCCAAGTGATTTGGGACCCCTACGATGTTCACTTAATGCTTCAAGTTTCTAATTCATGCACATCTGGAGTGACAATTTGGAAGTCTTGAGTACCACTCATCAACTGGAGATGAGTTGAGCAGAATGTACATGACTGTATGATAAGGTAGTTTGGAGCTATACAACACATAAACATGTAGCCAGTGGAGCCTGGATTTTGAAGAGTGGATGATAGGCAAAACCTAATGAAGATTGGGTTGATTTTAATAAATTCTATTTTCAATTATGGGAGAACAGACTTGCATGTATTATTCACGGTGAAAATATTCATGAAAATAATGAAAATTGGCTCAAATGATACTTTGATTGGTATAGGTCATAGGCATCATACTAAAACCAACTCAGTAATTATTTATTCATATATTAATTATTCATAAACCAAGATTATAAAGCCTTAAAAGAACTAGTTATAATAGTCTGACAATTGTTTTTGTCAGAGTTTGTGCTTTGCAGTCGATAGAGCCTATTTATGCCTCTGAGCACGACCTACTAGAATGGGGGGCTCGACATTTATAAGTGTTAGGTCCAAATGTTATTATACCTATAATGTGTGTTTATCTCACATATTGAATTTTATTTTATAAAGCATCATAGTAAACTTAAGTTTAATTTTTCATGTAATTGAGTCTAGAATTAGAATTTAAGAAAGTCTTAAATCTCATCATGGGTTGTGGGGGTCCGAAGATAATCTTAATCCACATTAGGAGTACTTGAATCAGGCAAAGAAGAATTGGATTTAAATTAAAAGAAAATATAGATGAATTAAAATTGGACCAAATGAAGAGGAAGATGAACCAGTGAACAAAGGAAGAATATGGATATTTGAGGGTGAGCTAGGATGAAACTTTAGTTATGAGTGCCCCTAGGTGAAGCTTCATGATGATCAGTGGACCCAAATGGAGCTAAAGAGCCCAAAAATTGTCAGTTAGGGTTGTTTTTTTATTGTCTCCCACCATAGATCTCACATATTTTTTAATCTAAACAATCAGACACAATAATCAAAAAAGAATTTACTATCATGAGGGATAGAAATATTATCTTAGAATAAATCTAACGATCCAGTTGATGAAGATTTTCAAGTTTTTTGGGTCTACATAACCAGGATTTTCTTTTGTCTTAAAGGTGTAAGATAAGATTTATTTTATTCTGTGGTTTGATTTCTCTGGTAAAGAAAGCTCTCACAGTTAATGACATATCAAGAGTAGTGGTCTCGAGAATACTCTCAATTAAAGTTTTGACTTATATCATGCTCAATTATCGGTAAGTGTCTGTGAGATGATTGATATCAAGGGCTCACACTGAAAATTTTAAGTTTTGGAATGATTGAGTGGAATTGGAAGTATTGGATAAGCTTGATTAGAATTAATTCACTTAATGATAAGAACCTTAGTTGGTTTGGTTTAATTTGATTGGAGGTTTGGTTCGAGTTGATTTTGCTTGTTTTAGTTGATTTAAATTTTTTTGTAAGTCATGCAAGTTATTTTTTTGGATTGTATTCAAATTTATTCATTTTGTATTTGTTTAAATATCATTTATTTAAGTTCTTCAAAATTGATTTACTTTTTTATACTGTAGTTTTATGTTGTTAAAAGCCATTAGATTTGTATTAGGTTTATTCTAAATTTTATTTGATGATTATTAAGTTTATTACTATTTTTTTTGTTTATTTAAGATTTTAAGATTTATTAATGTTTGTTAAGGTTGGTTAAAATTCATTAAATTTTGTTAAATTTAAGTTTATTAAAGTTTGTTTAAAATTTGTTAGGCTTAATTAAAATTCGTTAAAGTTTGTTAAAATTTATTGAAGTTTGTTAACAAAAAGCAAGCGTTGAGACTTCAAGGTCACGCTTAATTAGACGAAAGTAAAATAAAAATAATCTTTGAGTACACACTCCCTAACTCGTACTATTTTAAATAATACAACTAATCAAGATTGTAAACACACAAAATATGATAAAATTTTGATTTCAATGGATACCTTGGAATAAATCTAATGAGTAGGGGCTAAAAAAATGTTGTTTAAAACTCATCAAAGCAAAATGTTTTGAATTTGACCTAAGTTTTTTTTGCATTTTCACACCCGCCAATTCATATGTATTTACATATTTAACCCCTAAACTTTAATTTTTACATTTATACCACCAAAATTGCTCGTGTGAATTCTTTTAAGCACGGTACAAAAAATTAATATAAAAATAATAATAATAGATATTAATTATTTTGAATCAAAATGAGTTGAGCATGAACAAACAAAACAAACATTAGTCATGTTGAACTCGTTTAAAAATCAAGCTAAAAAAAAATTATTCGTGTTCGACTCTCTTACTTAACGAATGAATCCAACACAATCTGCTTAACAAACCAAACACGAGCTATTCACAAACAACGAACTTTTTTAACATCCCAGTAAAACCCCAACAACTTAAAATTCATTTTCATATTCTTCCGTATCAAGCAATGAGCCCTTATATGCCACCACGAGTCCAATTTGTGCATCTCCCATATAAAATCCAGTCACTTCAATCTTCCTGATTGGGAATACCTTATTGATTTATACATCACTTTGACCACACTTCCATATTCTTTTATATGGTATTTTCTTATTTTGTCTTTTCTAAAACTAATATACTTCTAATAAATATTCTGCAGCTACTCCACAAAGCAGAATGCCGGAGATCCAGTCCATCAGACTCATTCAAATGAAAATATTAGCCGCTGACATTGAACCTCTTTTTAAATCAAATATTTCATTAGATAATGCATCTATCCCCATGAACTTATTCTTCGTTCTGCTTGAAATCCAAGCCAAATATGGCTTAGAAGCTACATCTCACCCATCATTCTCAAGCAAACAAGATATTATTGCTACAGTAAGCAGATGGAAGATAAAATGCCATCATAATGATGGTTATTAAATCATTAACCAAATCCCGCCCCCATTCTAAAACAAACTAAATCTGCAATTTCATCATCTTTTAAATAAAGAAAACATCAAAAATAGCTTTTGCTGCTCAGAAAAAAGGAATGTCATTCCAATTAAAAGAAATAAGAAACCTTAAAAAACAGGAAAAAAAAAAAAAAAAAAAAAAAAAAAAAAAACTGCAGCATTTCGAAAGAGTTAACCATACAGAACACTCCCAGTTCTTCCAGGCCTAACTTATAATGGCAACAAATTTCAAAAACCTCCATCCAGGTTCCTATATTTCAACTCCAATGTTGATTTATCAAAAGGAACTGTAAGAATACAACCAAGATATCAACAAATAATTTAACTATAAGAGAGAGTCCTAATTTGAATCATAAACTAAAGATCAATTTCTCAACCTCTATGTATCACTTTCTTTACAACTGCCAAAATGATCATTATTCCTATAGCAGAATAAGATCTGTCTGATTAATGATGCATGCAGAGTGGCCTTCAAACTCTCAAAGTGAGCTGATCGAGCCATGTAATTTTTCTCTTTCCGGACCGGTTTGAACCGCTTCCGATGTCTCTGCAGGCTGAGAGCTTCAGATCATCAGCCATGATGTTTCCTTCAAGCAAGCTCCTTCTCAACTTCTCCGTCTTCAGGTGCTCCAACTCCACTTCAAATGCATCAGTTTCTTCATCATTCTAAAGAGGAAAAATCCCAGAAAAATCAATATTTTCATGCTTATTGCAGTTGGAAACAGGTATTAGTTGACTAAAGAGGATTGAGGAGATTACCGGTAAGGAGACCTGGTTTAAATCTATCAGTTTTCTAGCATTTTGAACCTTTGCCTCCTTCGCTTTACAGTTCCTTTCTTCTTTTTTTGGGAGCTCAGCTTTAGTAGGAGGCAAAGGAGGCCGAATAAGTTGATTAGGAGGGAAGAGAATTTTGAGAGATTGCTTCTTTGTTTTGCATGGGAAAGCCTTGGAAGATTTGGTGAAAGACTCGTATTTTTTTGCCAGGAATCTACAGCATACATGATGAATGATACAAGTCATACAGTGAAATATCAGGTAATGTAGTCAAAACAAGGGATCATTTACATATATACCACACAATTCTTATGTATTTACATATGTAACACCTAAACTTTCATATTTACATTTATATGATTCAAATTTTAGCATCATATAAAAAATACAACAATTATTAATTTTTTAAAAGTGAAATACACATTTTCGTGAATAAATTTATAACAACAAAGTGTTATTAAATGTAAATATCAAACTTTAGGAGTTAGATATGGAAATACACAAGAATTGTGTGGTGTATGTATGTAATTTCCCAAATATAAAAGCTAAATAAAATCAAGAAAGGATGTGAGTGAATAGTTAGCTCTTACTTGACTTCAGCCAAGAGCTTGAGCTTTTTCTGCATTGCCTTCTGTAATCTCTCCCTCTTTTCTACAGTTTCCTAAGATTATTCGCAAATGTCCAATGATTAATAAAATACTCAAATAATTAAATTTTGTTAACATGAATATGTGAAAAAATTAATGGATTACACTAAGGGGATGTTAGGGATTTGAGGAAAATATATATTTGATATGCAGAAGTACAAGTACAAATTATAAAGTTTCAATGATTTTTTAAGTTCACACTTTAGTTCATTTTTGCTGAATTTAAAATTCGGCTGATTTGACCGAATTTGAATTACATTGTAAAATGCTATAAAAAAACTATCGCCCTTCAAAAAAACCCGCTCTTGCCCCATGCCCGTCCTAAATCCCCGGCTCTCCATCCTCCTCGCCGCCCGCTGCCACCGCTTTTGCTCGGCTCCCAAATAAATTATTGCATTATTTTCAATTTCTTCAAACCAAACAAAAAAATATAAAGACGTGCAATTATTTTATAGTGAACCAAACAACCATAAATCATTTCAAATAAATTGCAATAACAGTACTCTACAATCTTTTTACATTGTACTTTATTTTCAGCAAATCAAACAACTCCTAAAGAAGAAGCCCGTAAGGTACTCCCATATGATTACATCAAAATAAGGCTATAGAAGAAAATGAACCAAGGTGTTAGAGCAACAAAGCACGAAAGTTTAACTGCATTAAAAAAAGAAAAGAAATACATCGAATAAATTGCTGCTTAATAATACGGAGAGTATCTCAGATTAATGCCATTACTCTTCAACATAATCTACAACCCTAAATGATAAATTACATGAAATCACAAAAAGCAAACAAAGCTCACACTTTTTTTTTTTTTTTTTTTTTTTTTTTTTTTTTTTTTTGGTTTTTGTGTTTGATGTATTTTTTTAAAACATGTTTGTTTGATGTATTTTTTTTAAAACATGTTTGTTTGATGTATTTTTTAAAAAAAAAAGTTTGTTTGATGTATTTTTTACATGTTTTTATTTTTTTTCTCAAAATAAATTAACATGATCTTGAAAACACTCAAAATAACTTTTAGGTATTTTGAGTGTTCTTAAAAACAACCATGTTTTAATCAAATAACCACATTTTTTGCTTCAAATAAAAACCTAAACAAAATAAAACAAAAACAAAAAATTGAAAATAAGAAACAAAAGGGATCCCAAATGGCCCCTAACTATTTGTTAAGTTTGTTTATATACACCACAATATTTCTATGTATTTACATATTTAGCAACTAAACTTAATTTTAATATTTATAACACTAGAATTGCTAATATTACATAAAAATATCACTATTATCAACTTTTAAAAAGTGAGTTGCACCTTTTCATGTATAGGTAAAGTTTCTAAACATAAAAAATCAAAGTTTGGTAAATAAATAAGAATTTTGTGGTAAATATATGAAGCTTCCTAGTTTTAACAGAGTTTTATTGTTACTCTTATGGACTATTAAGTTTCTAGCTCTTTTTTTAAGAAATTTTTTATGTTGAGACAACTTTTTATAAACAGATATTGCGGTAGCTATGAAAAATATATTTTGCTCCAAAAGTCTATATAATACTCACAATAACTTTAAAAAAATTTATTTAGCACAACTGTTCTACAATAGCTTTTATGAAAGGCTGTATTCACTCCAAACAGAACAGAAAACCCTTCAATAAACTTTATAAACTTGCCTCAAAACCAGGTTTGTTATCGAAACTCAATAACCAGCAGAGTTGTAAAAACTTCAGCTTTAAGAATTAGACAACCAAATAGTTCCCTAATCCTACTCTATCACGATTCATTAAATCCTTTCTACCAAAAATCAATTTAATAAAATTCAATAACAATATAAAGTCAAGGTCAGTAAAAGGAAAAACCCTAGATGCCTCGAACAGATGATCCAACAAAGAGGCTAAACAATAGATCCATAAAAGGAGAATATATACAGAAATCAGATCTCTAAAACAAGTCCGAATATGAAACCTAAGAAAATCCCTCAGATCTCTTCAACTAACTCTATAAAGTTCTCACCTTGAGCAACTCCTGATAATCCTCAAACAGGTACTGATGCTTGAGCCTTGCCATGGCTGCTTCCCCAGCCGGGAAAGAACAAGACGGGTATGGATCCATGAAATACTTCGTCTTTTTCTTCATCATGTTCCCGAAAACAAAAAGCGGAAAGAGAAAGAAAGGCGCTAGAGGAGGAAAAAAGAAAAGCTTCGAATGGGATGCGAACCGCCTTACAAGGATGTCATAAAGATATAGACGAGAAGAGAGAGGAGAGAGAATAGAAGGAGGGAGAGGGAGAAGATAATGGAGAAATAAAGGTGGACAGATAGAGAGGGGGGGTTGGGAGGTTGAGAAAGAAAGGGAAGGTTCCTTCCCCGGTTTTCTCTCCGCCCCACTGAGACTCTGACCGGTACAAAATACGAAAGGTCCATCTTTGCTGGAACAAGAGAAAGATGAGTTTTTTCCACCATTTCTGCGATGGTGGAAGGATATGACTGGGTTTTTTTTGGGGTTTCGCGTATGGGGCTCGTGGCAACTCCATTACTCCTATTTTTCGGTGGGAGGCGTTTTAGTCGGGAAGTCATCTTCGTCTTCTTACCTTTCGCTCTCATCCTCTCCCTAATTTGTCTCGCCTTTCGGATAAATTTGGTCCACCTTTGCCATATAGAAGAGAAGTGAGGGGAACCTGGTCTCCATGGCTTGTGGTAGAGCTACTTTTGTATATTCATACCAATGGCTGCAGTTTCTACGATGCTGCTGTTGATGATGATGCAGCGCTCTGTAGTTTTGATGGCGTGGAAATTGGGATCCAGGCTTTACAATGAACTTTAGCAAATTCCAGGAAGACCCCTCTTTTCTTACTTTAGCGCCTTGGATTGGAAATGGAAAGCGATCATCTTTAATCAAATGCACCCATTGCTTTGAAAATTTCTGTACTCTGATATCATTTATCTTTGGAATCAATCGAAAATAAATTTTTTTTTTTTCAACGTTGCGGAAGTGTTTTATAATTAAAGCTTTTCTCATCTGTTTGATTTTCACCCACTCTTATTTTATTTATTTTTGGGACATTTATATGCATACTACTAAACTAAATTCTATCTATTTAAATATTTAACATCAAAATTTTATTTTTAATATTTATCATCAAAATCTTTCATATCATATCAGATATGTTAATATTTTAATTTTTTATATATATATATATATATATGTATATATATATATATATATATGTATATATATGTCTATATATATATATATATATGTATGTATGTATGAAATTTATCAGAGATATATATATATATATATGTATACATATAATATCATATATATTGTATGTATGAAATTTATCAACACAAATCTCAAGGGAATCAAACGGTGTATAAGAGGAGATGAAATTCAATGATATGATAGATTTGAAGAACTTGATAAGACTAAATTTTGCTTGATTATCAAACATTGGTTGGAACCAGAGACAACGACACCGCTCGACTTTGAGTCAACCTTATATCACTCAGAAGAACCTCAGGTTCCAAGAGTTAAAGCTTCGACACTTATAAGGAATAAGTCAACTCGAGCCAGCTAAGTTAACTGATCCAATTACATATCGATCAGAAGATTCAGACTTGTGTATAGTTGTCAGTTGATGTTGACAAGGTTTTTAGATCAGTTATGAGTACTAAAGTGTGACAATCAGTTATAGATCTAAAAATACGCTAGTATTAGTTATTATTATGAAACGACGTCTAAAGAAAAAAATTGAACTTTAATATTTCTAATTAAATAAGTGCAAATAATGACTTGTAACATCTCATTAAAGAGGAGGCAAAAACATAACTTTATCAAAGGTCTCCTATGATTATAAATAAGGACTATTTTATGAACGAGGGATCAATCTTTTTCTCCATAAATTGTTCATCTTGCCCTCTAATGTTCTCTCTCTCATTTCCTTCTTATTTACGCTTTATCTCTCGAGGCATGATCCAGAGGTTAAATTGGGATTTAATATCTTAAAAGGTGGTGCTTTGAGCTTGGATGTGACCTAAAACGAATAGTAGAACACACATTCAAGAAAAAGAAACTTAACTCAGAGACACTGCAAACATGGAATGCATATGAGAATTTATGCAATAGCAAATTCAGGAACATAAAGAGCATATGATGATCCTCATTTGAGAAGCTATTATCCAAAGGAGGAACAACAACTTTTAATACCAGGAGGAGAAACTTGCGAGAAACAACATCTCCTCGAGGAGCCTTCCCGAGGGAAACCCCCAGAGGCTGATAGCCGAAGAACAAACCAGAAACCGCCAGAGACAAGAGCATCCCCAATACATTGATAGTACAGAATCTACGCTGACGGAAGAGCATTGTCCGTACACGCTAAGACAACCTGATGACATCCGCCAGAGAATGCTTTTTCTCGACAAGGCTAAACCTTCAAAGAAGTTCAACACCCCCCACCTTGAATGTTATAAGGGTTATTCTAACCAAGTCGATCATATTGATGCCATTCAAATGACAGTTATTATTCTGAAAATTATAGATGCATTAAAGTGTTGATTATTCTTTACTACATTGAAAGAGTTTGCCCCCAGGTGGTTTAATGGCTTGTTAGCGAGAGTTATCCACTCCTTCAATAAATTCAAGAAGTTGTTCATGGCGGACTGTGTCAGTGCCAAAAAACCTCTAAAAAAGTTGCAAACCCTTTTTCAGATCTAGCAAGGAGAGGACGAAAGTCTTTGTTCATATATCACTCATTTTCAAAAGTAAATGTTGGAGGTGCAGAACCTGTAGCCTCATATAGCGCAAACTGCTTTAATGCAAGGAGTCGGGATGAAGTGGTTCAAGTATGACTTGAGCTTGTGCAAACCAAAGTCTTTAGCAAAGTTTTTGAAGATGGGCAATCACCACATCATTACGTAGGAAGGAGTTATTAGCTCCCATCACCAAGCGGAATCTTTAGATCGTCAATCAAAGAAGAAGGATGCTTAGGACAAAAGGCAGAAATCAACAGATGGGCAACATCCTTCCAGTTGTTCCCAATAAGAGAGCAACCGACATAATCAAAACTGTAATGGAGCCAAGGGAACCAAGGCCAAACTTGAACTTACCAACGACTGCCTCAGTACAACGGGTGGTCGCACTATGAAGCCAGAAGACCCTCTTGAGGGTCTCAATGACTAGTTAGTCAAGGCCATTTAGAACAAGTAATACTTTATGAAGACTCCACAAATGAAGATTGGGGCTTCTCTTCGAAACCACAACAAGTACTGGGATTACCACCAAGACCACAATCACAGTACGGAGGAAATTCGTCACTTCTAGAACATGGACGAGGATCTTATTCATACGGGAAAGCTCAAGGAGTTTGTTGCTATTTGATCCAACACTTGGTGACAAGGAAAGGCTCCCACTAAGGAGTCTCCAGACGAACTTGTCTCACAAATGCCATATGCATTGCCAGTATAATTTCGGCCATCTTTGGGGTAGGCGGAGAATCGCCACGACAGGCCAGCCAAAAGAGGCTCCAATCTGGAGAAGTGAGTGACGTCGTTTCCATCCATAAGTGCAGTCATACCCTGGTTTTCTTTACCGATGCAGATTTTCCCCAAAAAAAAATTCATACAACGACGCTATCGTCTTTACTACCCTGACAAACAACTGCTAGGTAGGTAGTATCTTGCTCGATACCGAAAGTTCGGTGAACCCTGTGTTCAAAATGGTATTCGACAAGATAAGGATCAAAACCGTCTTGTTGCCCCCACCGGCCAAACCACTCTTCGCCTTCTCTGGCAAAGAAAAGAAGCCATGGGTGTTATCACCCTAGGGGTTTTCTAGGGCAAAAAAGAAAAGCAATTTACTAATATGAAGGACTTTTGGTTGCTAGAAACCCCAACCAACATACAATGCCATCTTTGGACACCCTTTGCTAAACAAATACCTGGTGGTCACTTCCACCTCTCACATGGCAGTTAATTTCCCGAGAGATGGGAAGATCATCACAGTCTGCAAGAACCTATAAAAATCTCAATGTTGTTACTTCTGGGTGGTAACTGGTGTGGAGTCGAGGCACTTGACATCAACTTCAACGGGAAAGGGACCTTGAGACTCACAAGACTGTCCTCCAAATTCTGCCTCAACCAAAGAACCTGGTAAAGTTTTTCTGAAAATTGCAAAATTTTGATGCAGGTAATACAACTTGCTGAGTCAAAACCTACACAAGCACCATGATGTTTTTTCCTCGACAACGGGGGAAATGTCAAGAATTTTGGCCATCAACTGCCACCTATTGAACATCAATTTTTTTTTGTTATATGATGGCATTTAACCACCATTTTTCTATATTTATTTGGTTTGGTTTACCTACTCTCTTGTATTTTTTGCATGTGTGTTAGAAATATTTACTTTTTCTTAAGTTTATTTATGTGTTTGTGTGCCTGGCTAGGCTTAGATTGTGATAGGCTCTTAAGTTATAATATTTTCTACATATTTACTATAAGAACATCACTTTTTTAAAAATATAACTCATAACTAGAATTAAAATAGCAAAGCCCATAAACTAATAAAAATATTTGAATTTCACGCCTAGTAGTTATTGCATCAACATGCATTAATACTAATTAACTTAAATAAAATTAATTAGAAAACTTAACGATTAAGGTGAACCAACTACATATAAAAAGTAGCACGTTATACTTTCTCTTCATCTCTTTGGACCTAACCTATGAGGATCACCACTCTTAAGGAGTAAAACAGCCTTTCATATTGATTAGCCTTAACTCCTTTTTTTTCATGCATCATATAAGGACCTGTATAACAATTTCATAATTTACACTTCACAGTTAGGGTCTCACTTTTAATAAGAAAATGTATTTAAATGAAAATCCCACAATCGATCCTATTTCGATTGATCGAGTTATTATTTTTACTTGGCTCTACCGAGCCATCATCATCTTTGCATAAAGAATAAAATTTAAAGTTTTAAAATGAAATAAATAGTTGAGTCTCAATATTAAGAATTGAGTCGTAAGTCCAAACACAACTTTTCTAATAGCATCCTGCCACTCTTAACATACATATGATTGGACACATTATTTTAAAGCATATGAGGTGTTAGCTAGCAATATATCCTAGGAAGGTTATAAGTTTAGGAGAGTTAGATAGGGTTCTATTCCTCAGTAAGAATGTAACCCATAAGTCTCACATTTTCTTAGTTAGGTTTGAGTCTCTACCATATTGGTGAATTCACCTTAATATAGGTTATGATGTTATCTTATTGGCCTTGCTAGATGACTAGCTTCTTCGAAGCTTTTTGACAGCCTATTCTATCTAATATAAATAACTCCTAATCTTCTTTAATTTACCCAACTCAAATAAAAAACAATCACTTTGATATCAAAATTGTAAAGCCCAATTATAGGATAGGTTGATGTAACCACTTGGTCTTTCAGTATTCAGTGCTCCCTACTTCCTCTTCGTTGGCTTCCAATAATAAGTATTCTAAATTTGAGCCATCTCACTTGAAATTCCACATAATAGTCTAATATCTCCATTATATTCTGCAAAAAATGAATAATCATTGTTTTAATCAAGAGTTGTCCTTCCAAATGATGTAATTAACTTAAGAGGCTTGTTTCTTTAGAGATATCATACCCCATAATGAAAATAAATCCTATCATTTTAAGGCAGGGGAAAAATTTTAGTTTTTGCAGCCCAACGAAGTAGTGAAATAATCACTTCGTGATCAGAATTATTATAGGGTAGTATGTTTGCCCCTTGGGGTAATATGCTATACCTTGAAGTTTTATTTTATCGCAAGTGAGAAATTTTAAAACTCTCCTGCATGGTCTCCACTTCAACATATACAGTAAAAATCCAAACCACCCCATCAGATAGCCTAGAATGATTCCCTTGATCAGACAATATTTTATACAGATTTAAGCGCCTTAATGATGTCAAAATTTAATGATTTAAGGCTCGTTAGATTTGTCTGATCGATATGATCAATTTGACTATAACCTCATTTTAACCTTAATTAACCACCAAAAAATTTTGAAATAGGTTTAATAACTTAATTTGGGCTTGGTTAGACTCGAATTGGACCAATTTTAGTGTCATTAGATGTCTCATTTAGTCATTCAAATTGTTTTCGAGGTACACCTTTTAAGGGGAAGTACAATTTGAAAAAAATGTCATGCCAAATGGGTGGAGTTCATTGAGACATTTCCATATGTGATCCGATATAAACAAAGTAAGGAAAATATAGTTGTTGATGCATTATCTTACATGTGTGTTTTGCTTTCCACCGTTAAAGTTAAATTGCTTGGATTAGAAAATATCAAGGAGTTGTATGAATTGGATCCTAATTTGGTCACACGTTTAGAGATTGCGCTAAGGGGTCACGTGGTAAACTTTGCTTGCATGATGGATTCCTATTTAGAGAGAATATGTTGTGTGTTACACATTCATCCTTGTGTGAATTACTTATTCGGGAAGCACATCACGATGGTTTGGTGGGACACTTTGGTGTAGCTAAGACATTAGGCGTGTTACATGAGCTTTTCTTTTGGCCACATGTGAGGCTTGTTGTTGAGAAGGTTTGTGAGGGATGCATTACAACTAGAAATACCAAGTCTAGGCTACAACCACATGAGTTGTATACTCCACTCCCTATTTCTAGAGAGCCTTGGATTAATATTTCCATGGATTTTATTTTGGGATTGCCTAGGACTAAGGGGGAGAAAGATATTGACTCCTTTGATCACTTACTTATGAGCGAAGGTGTTAACTTAAATGACGAGAAAAAACTTGATCTTGTTAGGTAGATCCATGAAAATGCAAGACAAAATATTGAGTGAAGGACCAAACAATATGCAAAACAAGCTAATAAGGGCTACGAGAAAGTTGTGTTTAAACCAGAGTGAAGACATTCTAAACTCCTACCAAGGGGTGAAGGATTGTTTCAAGCTGTGGAACACATCAATGAAAATGCCTAAAAAAACTTGATTAACTAGGTGAGTATGGTTTTAGTACTAGATTTAATGTTTCAACTTATCTCCTTTTGATGTCGGTGATAATTTGAGGATAAATCCTTTTCAAGAAGGAGGAGAATGATACAAATTCAGCTAAACTCAAGCATGATTGACATTCACATGATTCTTTGTCTCTTTTAAGTGTGTCAATCACAAGTTTTAGAGCTAAAGATTTCAAAGAAACTTTAAATGGGCTAGCCCGAGAAGTTGGCAAAGTGGCTTACACATGCAGCCCCAATAAGAGTCCAAGAATGACCTAAGAGTGTATGGCCAACATGATTAAAACTCTAGAAGGGTTTCCTCAAGCAAAACACATTTCTTAGCCATTCTTCAAGGCCAACCTATCAGATTAGCGTCTTAGGGAAACATGTCTATTTTGGAGCAACATGTGAGCCCAATATTATTAAAGTTTTGCCTTGTGGATTCAGATTTGCTTAAGCAAGAACCAAAATCCAAATATTTTCTTTTTTTTGCTAGCTTTCTTTTTTTATTTGTTATTTCTAAATATTTTTAGATTTTGTGGTAAATTCAACATGAAATTAATGTCATGTAAGGGTTTCCAAGTTAACATGCGCCATGACCTTTCTAGAGCTGAAATTCAACCCCTCTGTATTGTAAAACCTTTAGTTTATTTTGTAGTTTATGAAGATTTAGAGTATTCACGAATTTGTGAGGTTTTTTATGTGTTCTTATTTTCTTCAGAAAAATTTTGAACTTATTAAGTTAATTATTGTGGTGCTCAAACAACTTATCATTTTGAATTCTTAAGCATTCTTGAAATTCTAGGTATGGAGCCTTCCAATCTGTTAGGTAGCCAGTCAAGGCTCAACAAACTTATGTCGTGTAGATCCAAAGGTCTGATTCCGAATTTGGTTTTTGGTATCTTATCTTGTCGGTGGATTTTATATCATATAATCCACAATACCAAAAAGGACCTAACAAAATTTTAATAGCTGATAGGATAATTCTTCATAGAAAACTTTATATAAGCCTTAGAAGATATGATGATGAGAATTTTGATAAAATCTCCAAGTTGGCTCTGTCTCGAGCATCTAAATGAACTAACTTTCATCACAATAAGTGAAGAATGTCAACCCACGTCTATGCTTGGAACAATCCTACAAGATCTGGTAATAATAAGATAACTCGCATTATTTGTTCGGACAAGCCAACTAGCAATGATATTTTTCCTATTACTACCACTGGTAATACTAAGGATTGTCCGAGTATTGCCACCGACATGCAAACTTGTGAGAGATAGACATATATAGTGTGCGTCAAGAAAGTTATACTCAGAAAAGTAAGACTTCACATGCATAGACACAAACAAGCAATGAATAAAATATGTCAAAATGATATGCCTTAGAAACTAAACCTTGACGACACTGACATTAAGTCGAGATGCAAAATCAAAAGCTTTTTAGCAAAGGTGAAAAACCCTAAAAGCTTGAAGCTCAAAGTCTAGATGTTGTGTAAATGAAGAGAAAGAAAAGTCATGCAAATGAGGATCAACTTACAAAACATACACATGCAAATAACCACATGCTAGCAACTGTCAAAAACACAAGGATCCTCTCTCCTGTTGTAAAGAGAGTGTTATAACGACATGAAGATGACTTCATAGAATGATGTTTACGATCCAGGGACGAAAAGAGTTTGCAATCATACAAAACATACACATGTGCACATGCTAACAAGTGTAGAAAACACAAGGATCCTATGACGCCATTAAGATGACTTCATAGAACAATGTTACGATTCAGGGATGAAATGAGTGTGCAGACATGCAATACAACCTAAACCTAGTCAGCGGTAGAACTCGAACATTTTCCAACACTCCGCACGTAGGTGGTATGCAAAAAATGAAAAAGAAAAAACAATGAGCTTACGACAGATCATATCTGTAAACGATAAGAACAATGTGTACCGCCGATTAATTGGGCAGAGCAGAACCGCCACCCATACAAAATGATGTACCAACGATTTTGGAGGGGTAAGTCCAAGGGTCGACTGTCTATAAAGACAGAAGACCCACTTATTTAGAATAAACAAACTCGATTTAAAGACATGATAAAAAAGTTGAAGGAAGTCACCAACCAAAAGGAATGGTGTATCAGCGACCGAAAGAAACTATCATATCCCTTGTCTTAAAAAGCCAAGATATGATGATTTCAACTGAGTAAAATTGGTCCCGATTGAACGTGTATCCCACCATATCTGCTTCACTACTCAAGGCAAGGCTAACAACACAGCTTGCAAAACAAAACAAGTCAAAAATCAAGATAGCTCCCAACACCGTAGTGCAAAAGACTAGCACAACAACTATGCGAAAAAGAGAGTCAAAGTAGAGCCTAACGCGGGTCACCAAAATCGGTGTTGTGACTTTATCACAAGTGAAATCGAAGTCCACATAGGACCGCGATGCTGAGACCAACCTGATCTTTCAAACATGATGCTATTATAGTAAAGAGCAACATCTGAATGTCAACCAAACCCAACTAGACGACCTCAAGTCATTACAAAAGTAACGCCCATCTACCAATAGAGTGAAACGATGATTGAACGCCGAGGAAAGCTACAAAAATCTCATTTCACGCCCAAAAGGATAAAATTGCCATAATGCCCAAAGAATGACATTATAACATCAGCGCAACCTAAGACCCTATGCTCAAAGGAGCATTCAAAAAAATTTCATAGTAGACTATTTTCATATTATAACTTATTTGCATGTAATTAATATAATTATTTTAATTCGACTATTTTTTAATATCATATAATTATTTATTTATTTTCATATTAGAGGTTTTCAATGCTTTTGATGTATATTTTTTAATTTCATTACATTAACAATGAATATTCAAAGATGATTCATACAACCATTTCAAACCAAAATAAAAAATTAAAAAAAAAATCAAAGAAAAGAGCAAATAGAACAGGAACAACACATTACAGGGACCGTTCTTATTAGTAAACAAATGAAAATTAAAAAAAAATGTTGGGGTACAGAATCAGCTAAATAAATTCTCTCTCATTTAGAGTATAAATAAATTTCAGCAAATGCCAGAAAGATCAGCATTTTGAACAATCCATGGATGCTCAAGCAGTTTGTTAAATGGCAGACGCTGTGACGATTCCTTAACGAGCATCTGACCAAAAATTTGACAACTTAAATGAAGCTAATAGTAGAGGGCCAGAGGACTTCGAGAAACTTAAAAAAAAACAATATAGTTGAAGACTGGTTATGTACCTGGCTTATCAGTTCCTTCGCTGCTGAAGAAACTATGGGTTTTGAGGGAAATTTGAGATCAACTTTCCTGATTCTGCATTCACATAGCAAATTTCGTTATCAGATAATATTATGCCAAATCATTTTTTTTTCTTGCTCATATTACCATTAATTTAATATCAATTACTCAAATCTTTTTAATTCCGACTTGGAACCAAACAAAATGTGGATTTTATTTCTTCATACTGGTTTCCACAACTGCACTTCAGTTTTAGAAGAAAACAAATTGGGATAATTACATATAAAACATCCGAAAATCAGGTGATTTTTTGAACTAACGAACCGATGCATTTGGGTGAGCCACAATCAAACCATTTAGAATTTGATAAAAATGAAAAATATGGGTGAGAATTTGAAAATTTGATGAAAAAGGATGCTTTATTTATAAATAACACTGTTTTGGGTGCACTGTATGTGATGATTGTACCAAACAAGTATAGAATGATAGATTTGATGAAATAACTAAATTATGTTTATTGTTGTAAATTTGATAAAAATGAAAAATATGGGTGAGAATTTGAAAATTTGATGAAAAAGGATGCTTTATTTATAAATAACACTGTTTTGGGTGCACTGTATGTGATGATTTTACCAAACAAGTATAGAATGATAGATTTGATGAAATAACTAAATTATGTTTATTGTTGTAAATTTGTTGGTTACTGAAACTGAGGTGAACTTTAATGAGTATAATAAGCTAACCTTCTGTATGTTTCTGAGTGCTCCTTGGCCTCAAATGGCGGTACACCATAGAGGAACTCATAGCATAGAACACCCAGACTCCAAATATCTACACTAGCATCATGATCTACACTTTCCACTGCAAATAACAAAATTTAGTTGGTTAATCCGGAAATCCGAATAATTTGTTTTCTCATTATAAATCTAAGCCAAAGTGAGATTGAATGCAAAAGAAATTGCTATTACCCATTTCAGGGGGGAGGTAATCTAAAGTGCCACACATTGTCTTCCTGCGGTCAAATGTGTGAACTGACCACCCAAAATCTGCAATTTTTATTTCACCCTATCCAGAAGTAATCCATTATTAAAAACATGGTGCTTTTGCAATAAATCTGAACAAACAGCTTTAGGACAAACCAAACCACCTGCGCTCCAAGCAGCAGATTTTCGGGTTTGATATCTCTGTGAATGACATGCTTTCCATGCAAGTAGATAAGCGCTCTGGCTAATGATGACATATACTGGATAATCATTATTAGTATAAAACTTTAGCAAAAATTTCATCTCCAGAAATTATAATTTCAGTAGAGTACGACTTACTGTTGCTGCTCTCCTCTCACTGAAATATTTGCGCCGCTGCAATTCTTTGTAAAGTTCTCCCTTTGGTGCATGTTCAAGTATTAAATAAACTCTTGTCTGTAGTAAAATGGAATGATTGTGATGAACTCAAGTTAAAATTTCAATTTTTTTCAGAAGTTAAATAAAGTTAGAGATTAGACCTGATCATAAAAATAACCATATAACCGCAGTATATTTGGGTGTCTGAGGTGACTCTGAATTTCTACCTCCCTGCGAATCTGATGTTCAACCTGGGACTTCTTTAGCTGACTCTTGGATAGAACTTTCATTGCCACTATATGATTACTCTGCAATGAAGATCTGTAAGTTAGTAGTATTAAAATAATAGTTATCCAACAAAGAAAGGTATTATTTAGTGGTTTATTGCGGTCTCCATGCAATAAAAAAATCTAAGAATAGTAGATATTTCTCTACTTTTGCTTTAGTTATTAACAAATTTACCTTCTTTTCTCTGGCCAAATACACATGGCCAAACTTTCCTCTCCCTAATGGCCTCCCGATTTCAAAATCATTCAAAGTCCATCTTTTCTCCATGTCAAAGCTTTTGAAAGAGACTGCCAAAATATGTATAAAGAAAGCATGATCATATTGGACGAAAAAAAAAGGCTGGCTAAGAATGCCAGAAGTACCTTTCAAGAGATAATAACATTTTCTCCTCATTTTTTTCCTTTATTAATCTTTTCTTTTTTTTCAATAAATGCTACGTAAAGCAAGAAAATATGAAAGAAATATGTTTATAAGAATTAACGGTATACTAGTCATGTAAGTATCCAAAAACTTTTCAAAGGGTATTGTTTTGCAAGTTTAACTTTTTGTTTGCGTTCATTGATATTGTAATTAACATGTGATATTAAATTTAGTTTACGAAAACCTTCATTTGCATTTCAAGCAACCCTATTTGTTCCCATGCCTTTAACATGTATATTTTTTTCCACTATCATACTCGCAAAACCTATATAATACAATCTAACAAATAACTTTTTGTTTGCATTCATTGATATTGTAATTCATAAGATATTAAATTTAGTCTATGAAAAACATTATTTGCATCTCAAGCAACCTTATTTGTTTCCATGCCTTCAAAATGTATATTTTTTTAACTATTATACCCACACAAAGCCTATACATTTGAAGATTTTAGTTTTGCCTACGCATGACCGAACTTCCCTCTCCATAATAGCTTCACATTATAAAAATAATTCAAAGTCCATTTCATCATGGAGGAAACATTTGAAGAAGTGTTAGATTCATAATTAATAACACATGATCATACCTGAAATTGAGAAAAAAATAGAAAAATCTAAGAATAAGAAAAGTCTCATTTAAGAGATTTATCAAATGATTCAACTCTTAGGGGGTGTTTAGTATCTTTTAATATGATTTATCAATGAATTTACTAAATTTGGTCAAAATTTATAATGCAAGAGTTCCGTGGATCTATGAATTTTCGGATTTAGGGCGTTAAATTTCGCCTTTGATTTGAGTTAAATCCGGTTTTAAAATAGGATGAATTTAAAAGATTTACAATTTATGGAGTTACTAAGTCCTATTAAAGATAAACCCTACATGCAGCAAAACCCTACTTGCAGCAACCCTACTAGCAGCAAAACAACCCCTTAAGGATCCTAAAAATTATTAGGAGTGAAGCTTATAAGAAAGTTCTAAAATGAAGTGGCTGATTTAACAATGGGTAAACTATGTTTTAATATCTAATTGATCTAAGCATTCAAAAAAATTCATGTAAAATTTGATTTGAATTATGAATTGCAAATTTATATTCCTCAAATAAGCAGGGAATTGCAAATACTAATTGTACGTTTTGCAATTCTAAAACAGTGTTAAATCTTGTTACAATAATTTTCGTTTTCCCATTATCTACTTTTTAGATTCTAGCTATCATTAGGGTTATCTATATCATTTTAGATTTTAGCTATCATTAGAGCTACTACGGGTACCAAATCAATATAAGATGATATTTTCAAATAAAGAAAGAAAAAAATCAATAAAATTTAGAGAGACAATATTTGTTCGTTGCAACTTTAGGTTAATAGCTTCTGTAAACTCATATCCTTCTTCTCAAAGTGAATCATTCTTTTTATTTGCAAGGTGATATTTAGGATTATTTTCTACATAATGCATGAGACTAAAGCTCATGAAAGCTAATTAAGAGAGCACATAATTAATAAATATATTAAAATTCTAAAATCATTAATTTATTTCAATGGTTTCAAACTGTGTATATGCTACTCTTAGCTAATAAAATGTTTGGATCATTTTGACATTTGGTTGATAAATCATAAATACAAATATTCTAGTTCATTTGATTAATATTATGAAAATATTTCAAATATAGACCCTGTCTTCAATAGATTATTAGTTTGATGCTGCTTAGAACGATAGCTACCAACTTAGATTTGCAATAATAGTAGGTTAAATACAATAGCTTATGTTAAGGAAAGAGAATCCACGCCCATCTTGAGCAAATATGATCATAATAATAAAATAATTTAAAAGAAATTGAGAGCAACCAAGAAAAAAAAAAAAATTATATGGTTCAACTTAAGAAAACCTATGTCCACTTCCACACAAAGATCAAATAATCTATTAAGCTACTGTGTAAATTTTGATGTTACTCTAGGTATCGTTCCCTCTCTACAAAGGAGTCCAATCGAAACTAAAAAGAATTAGCAACTTGCAGAAAAACAAGAGTATCAGCACCAAATAAAACATCAATGCATATCAACATAAGCTTTACAAGAGTACAGTAGCAAGACAGAAGCAGAGCATTTCAGAGGAACAGAGCTAGCAGCCATCAGTTACCTCAATCCAATGTAACCGAGAGAATCATCGAATCCAAAGGAACAGAACAACAACATCAGAGAACCAAAATTGACAATCAAAATTCACCACTACGTCCCATTTCTCGCAAATAATACTGTTCAAAATAGCTTGTAAGAAGCAAATCGGAGAAAGACTACATGCAAGATTGCTGCAAGCAGATACAGCGCAAATCATAACGGAAAAAAGGAGCAAAATAAAGAGATCATATCAATAACAACTTGAAGGAAAAGAGAATCCCCCGATTCTTAGAATCACCACAGTTATCTCATTTCCCAAAACAAGAAGTAATTCATAGATAAGTATACCTCAAGTAATTGTCGGCCGGAGAGAAAGACGACGAGGGTATAGGAGGGGGCCGCCTAGAAGAACTAGGGCATCGAAAGGAACGAGCCGAAGAGGGCGAAACAGGGAATAGTGATCCGAGCGAGGATCGACAAAATGCTTTTGCTCTCTGCACCCCAGCTCCCCGCAGGAGATGACGACTTATATACGGGAAACTCAGCTAGGGAAACACTGCCACTTGGTAAAAGATAAGTGGATTCTCTTGAATTTGGTGTTATAAGAAACGTAGGTGATGCGGGAATTTTGCAAATTTGCCCGTTAAATTTGAAATTGAAAGAGTCGCTATTCTTGGTCCATTTGATGGGCCCGTTAAATTCGACCGTTGGAGTAGCCGTGGGCTGTGTGTTGGAGCTCAGGTTTGTACTTCGAAGGTTTAGAAAAATAAATGGTGAGAAAATGTGGCAAAGGTGATGTGGGATGCTGTCTATCATCTTTCTTCTTTTTTTTTTTAAATGAATTTAATTTTTTACTATTTTATTTTACCCGTAATTAAAAAGAAAGGTTATGTTGAATTGATATTAAGAGAATTAATGCACTAAGATTAATAAATTTTCTCTTTTGATTTATTATATCAACATGTTAAATCATTTTAGTTGAACAATTTTCTTTTATTTTGTTTTATTTAGGTAGAATGGTATCATTATTTTGAACTTATAAGTATGTGCAGTTCTTGACTTTATCAATTATTTATATTTAAATAGTTCAGTTTCAATTCATTTTTGGCCAATTATAAAACTATAACCAAATAAAAGACATGTGATATGTCTATAAGATGAATATCACACTATATTTACCCTTATCAATATGCTATTTAAGAGGAATTATAAATTTACTAGTGATTGAGAGGGATATATGACCTACCAAACACACGTAAGAAGGTTTTGTGTGAGGCTAAGCGTTAAGATTAGCCCTTACTAATGCAAGGGTGAATATAATTTTTATGGGAATCTCTAAATCAATTGTAAGTGTGCACCTTTCTTAACCATAAATCACTATCATAAGAAAAAAATTCTTCTTCCTTTAACCCTCTACTTCAACCTAAAACGTTTATGAACACCATTGTAATGGATACAAAGGTGTTGCCTTAAGTTTGTACCCAATCTTACTTGTATCTATTATAAATAAACTACATTGACTCTGATATTTAAGTATGCTTAATATTTTGTTTAATAGTAGTTTATTTGAAATATTTAACTTCAGTCAACCTAATTAACTTTAATTAAGAACCATTGACTGATTATATCTAAATTGATGCTAATCTCATTTATGGATATGTTATTACCTATAAGTGATGACTCATATTTTTCTAGACTTAATTTAGTATTGACTTGAAGTTCCTTACTGATCAAAAAGGCATCCTTAATTACTATAATCTAATCATAAAATCTACTATTAAATTATCCTATCTTACTAAATTAACTCAATGTACTTATAAATATTTGGGTTATAACTTTCCAAAACTGATCTAAGGATGCCTAAATAATCATAACTTGTTTGCAGGATGCCTAATAATCATAACTTGTTTGCTTTTTTTTTTTTTTTGTAACTTTTTTATGCTACAATTGATTCAAATAATCATTTCATGTATATTTCTATGTGGCATTCCTTAATATTCATGTAACTAGAAAGGGTGGATTTTATTATTCTTCTCATTGGTAGCACCTTCATACTCATTTTCTTGATTAAATTAAGTAAATCATATTATTAATGAATTTTTATACCAAAAATCTTTAGGTTCTGAGGTGATTAGTCATGTAACCTTACAAATAAAATTATCCTTTTGGTTAGACAACATGATTATACAAACTCAAGGCAACATTATTTAGTATCAATGTTTTTTGAGCCATTTGTAGAGAGTTGTTAATGCATCAAGGATGCCTTGTGATGTAGCACATCAGGAAAATAAAAAAAAAAGCCAAAAGATCAATTATAAATGCCCTAATAAAAGCTAAAACAAGTAATCAAGCAATAGCGCATTCAAGGTCTATCAAAAGAGCTAAATAGAAAATAAAATAATTTAATTGTAGATTACATTATTAAAATTTGAAATTTAGCTTATATAAGCTTTTAAATTTTACATTTGAAGGCTTGTATGGGCTAGCCATCATAATTGAAATAATCAATTTAGAAAGGCAGTTGACACCTTCTTCCATTAATGACCACCAACATCTTCCTCTTAACTTTTTCTCTCCTTTTTTTTTAAAATTTTTGTTATTGTAATCCATATAAATAGAGCTCATGTCTAATAAATTTTACTTTTCGAATAAATTATTTTGAGTGAAGGATTCCATTTTCTTGGCTTCGTGCTTGGTGGCTCAACGTTATCTTTTTTTGTGAGATTAATTAGTTATCATTTTTTTATTTTTTATTTTTATTTGATATTATCGGAAATACGACACTTAAAATTATTAACATCCTTTCAAAATTCTTACAACCCTAAATAATCATGAACTATTCAGTTTACCACTCAAAACTATTCAAAATTTTCTCTTAGAAGCGTTTAACCAAGCTAGACATTGCTATAACTTAGTCTTGTTATCTACCTTATAACACCAATATAAACTTCTTTGAACTTAAAATCTACTCCAAAGCATAAATACATATGCTAAGGACAACACCCAAAATACTTTTAAGCTATGTACCCAACTTTGAACCATTTGCTAAGGAGATCTTTAAAATCTGGCCAAACTAGCTATTCCAGATTAGTCTAGTTATTCTAATCATCATATCATACTAAAACTTTAAACATTGTTGGCATCAATTTTTTATGTCACAAGTACCAGATCCCCTTGTGATGTTGTGGGAGTGTGTGGCGCTCACGCGTGCCCTCCTGTAGCTTAAGGAGTTCGTCGAAACATTACTATACGCACTATGTTCTCAAGACTAAGATTTAACTCTTCCTGTCCGTGCTTGACAATGCCTACCACTGATTTGTGACCTTTCCCATTCTAGAACAAGTTCAACAATCATTATGGGGCCTATGTGATCCATTCCGGTCATTAACACTTAACGAACTCTTATAATGAAAAATGACACACAACAGTCTAGTGTGACCACACCCAAATCGGGTGTGGACACGCTTAACCCCTCCCCATAAGGGTTGAGGGGGTTGTCTTTGGCGTAACCACACCCAAAGGAGGCGTGACCACGCCACATGATAGAGCCCACAGCGTAATTATGCCATGGGATGGCGTTGCCATTCCAGACCTTCCTGCAGTTGCGCGAAGGCTGCATTCGAAGGTGGCAAGACCATGCTGCAAGATAGTGAGCCTGATGTAATTACACCAAGGAGTCTAAATGACCATGCCAACCCTGCGGACAGAGTGTTGTGACCACGTTCGAGCCCAACGTGACCACTCTGCCCCACCCAGGTTTCAAAATTTAGTTAGGCGGCCCTAGAAGCACGTCACCTAGAGCCAAAATTTTAGCGATCTCCTTAGGCTTGAGAAGATATGCATGGGGGGTGTTAAAACTGTGGGATTAGCCTCATTTAAAAGCTCTTAAGTACCCTCCATTAGCCTTTTTTTTGGAAAAATAAGGGGATAAATTGGGGATTTGGTTGGGTGAGCTTATTTTAACTTAGGAGAATCTTCATTTCCTCCCCATTACACTTCATTTCAATTTTAAGCTGAGGGAGAGCTTTCTTTGGGAGCATTTTTGAGTGTTTGAGGTGTTAGTGGGAGAACACCATCTTCTTCCTCAAAAAGCTTCATCTTATTGAAGTATAGAGCTTGGAGCAAGGAAGAAGGAGGAGTACTTTTCATCTTCCTCAAGGAGAAGCTCAAGAGATTTGGGTCATTTTCCAACTTCATCTTCTTCTTCACTTTTCTTTTTCTTCTCCAGTGACTTTTCCCTCTCCGACAAATTATCCGGGGAACACGGCTAGGAGAGCTTCATCCTAGTTTGAGGAAAGGAGGATTTCAGCGAGCTTGTGATCTCTCCGGCAAGGAGAGTTTCATCCTATATGGGAGAAGGATTACTCCAACAAACTTTTCCTTGATCTCTCTGACGAAGAGAGCTCCCTCGTTGCTTTGGGGGAAGGATTTGCGTGGGCTTCTCTCCTATCATTAGGAGAGCTTCATCATACTAGAAGAAACGCATCAACAACCTTCGTGTTGTTGAGATTCCCTAAAACCCTTTTGCTTTTTCTTTCTTAGCTAGCCCTAGGAATAAATCTTGCTAGGTGCTTGTGGGTTGGGTCTCCCACGCTAAACAAGTTGGATGGCCTACATTACTCAACATGGTCATACACCTATTGATTGATCCTTTACTTCTTAGAGGAAGCCCAAGGTTAGGAAACAAATGCATGGCCAACTCCTTTGTGAAGCTAAGTGACTTCCTGTTGCGAACCATAGATCAAAATCCTAGTGGGCCAGAATCCCAATTTCCTATAACTTTGGCGTTTCCAACCTTCCTTAGAGGGGTTGGAATAGTTCATCTTGAAGAATGGGAAAAATTTGTAACTAGCTTCCATTCTGTAAGATTGTGGAGGGTTTGTAGAACAAGAAAAGCTTTGTATGATGTGAGAGTTTTCACTGCATCCTCTAGTGCAAAGTAAAATTTTCATCGCCAAGATGGAAATTCACTTTGAAATCAAAGTTCTCAGTTCTAAAATAGAAATTCACTTTGAAATCTAAGTTGTATTGCCAAAATAGGGGGACAATGGAATTTATATTTTGATGTGAATTTCCATCTTGGAATTGTACAATTAGATTTCAAAGTGAATTTACATTATGACTGTAGAACTTAGTTTTCACAAAGGAGGAAACAGTAAATACCCTTTACATCGTCTGAAATATATTCTTTTAGGAAAATATTTTTAGGTGTGCAATCAACCGCATAAAGGGTTGCGATGAGAATAATGTTTAGTTCTATAATTAACTTTATAGTTGGAAACAAATACAAAACAAATATACCCATGATAGGATTGAAGTAGCTACAGTTGCAGACAATATTAGAAGGAGATGTCTAAAAGTCTAAATAAATCGTTAAAATTGACAGATTTTATTTTTTCTTTAAGCGAAATAATAATTATTGCTTGAAAATTGACTAATTTTTAATTTTGACTTGGATTTCTTTAGTTGGCAACAGCTCAGCTCGAAATCAAAATGTCAACAGCCTACTGAGGTTGTTAGGGCAGTCAAAGATCAATAATCAACGAACATT